AATGAGGATAGTGAGGAAACAAACATTTTATTTTTAATTTACAATATTTACAAAAATTGTATATATTTTATTCTAATTTTATTCCATTTTTATTTGTTTAACATTTTTGTTAGATAATGTCAGAGTTAATCATGTTGTGGAAATCCGACGACTCTTTAAGTCACTTTAAACAATGAAACAATCATTTTGCTGTATTGTTGATTTATTTCATTTTAATGGTAGAATGATAATAATTTGTGCAGCACCCTCGTCTCCCAGAGAGGAACCACAACAACAGCTGATTTTATCACATCACAGTGAACACGTAAAGCCTTCAAGTCCGTCTCCCTGTAACTTGACTAGATTTTTGTTTTTAATTATAGCACTGGTCGGGAAACATGCAAGCATCATGTTTCTCTGAAAACAAAAAGAAGCAGCTCATTATAAATAGATTAATCAATGATCACCTAACAGCTTACAAAGGATTTGAATTTCACAGTACAAAGCGGTGCACGTGTCTCCCTTCGCTGATAGATGAATAAAAGTCTTTGGTAGCTACAGAACAAAACTAGCTTCTGTTAGAGACAATCAATTATTTAGAAGCCTTTTCACATACTTTATATGCAGCATCTAAAGAAGCAGCGTGAAAATAAACTGCAGGTGAAAAGTCGGCGACCTCCAACGCCGACGATCAAGCTGTCCAGCTGTAACACAGGAAGTTCTTTGTCTCTGTGCAGTCTCTGGCCAGAGGACCACCGGTGTTGTTCTTGGATAAGGATCCACAGTACTGCCAGTTGACGGGGCAGAGGGGCAAGTCAGAGAGCTTCATGTCTGCCCCGTTCACCCACAGCCAATGACCGGCCAGAAAACGTAGACCTGTCCACACCTGGGAGGCAGAAACAACCAGAGAACCTCCAGGGAATTAATAAACACAACTTAAAAGTCCCATGTGGTGAGAATCCATTTTGATTTGCAGTTGTAATAAACTTGAAGATCAGATAAAATAAAAGCCGTTAAGGTACGACCACAACGAGATACACTCCCTACTCGACAAATAAGAATTTGTCCCACGTGCTGCCTCAGTCCTAATGAACCAATCACCATCCAACTCAAACTTTGCATGGCTTCCAGGTGAACCACTAAGAATTAACAGCAGCCTCACCGTCAACCAGGTTTACTTACTTTCCAGAGCTGCTTTTGCTAACCCTTAAACTGTCTCAACCACAAGCTAAGCTAATTAAATGAGCTGCTGTTGGTTGCAAGAGTGAACACAAGAGTCCTGATGCACTCCTAGCATCCGGGGAACTGAAGATCCAATGGATTACTGTTATTATTGATAGCAATGTCACCACAACAGTAAGAAAATCCTAAATGTTAGCACGTTGTGTGGCTAATGTGGCTAATGGTGCTGTTAGCTCGGCTCGTCAAAGGTCTGTGGAAACTGTAATGCTGAGGGACATTTAGAGATGATGGAAACTTAGACCTGAAACTAGTGGACCCAGTGAGTTACTGAGTTTTCTAGTTGTTTTTAGTGCTTCAAAAACCACACTAAACTCAGCTTGTGTCGACATCTTTTAGCTTCTCTTCTGCTCTCTGTGCTAGCATAAACCGAAATCTAATACAGCCACATTCCCAGTAAAAGCTGTTCTCATTTACATATTCAGACCACATGTGAACCCACAGAAACTTTAGAGCCATTTCTCTCCTGACTTTATATCTGCGACGTTGTCTAACATCAGCAGAGAGAGCTTCCTTCCTGAAGGGGGCGGGGCCAGCAGCAGCTCATTGGTTTTCAGATTCAAACAGCCTTTTCAAACACCAGAGGTTATACAGTGGTAGTGAAATGAACCATCTATGCAGTGTTTTGAGCTAAAACATATTGAAAGACACATTGTGCTGACATGTGAGACTCACTTTAATTTGCTAGAAAGTGATACAGTATNTTCCATCCTGGACCGGGCACGAGCGGGCAAACACAAACACCAATTATCTCGTTTTCACGAGAAAACGATTCTTGTTATCTCGAGAAAACGGCAAAGAAAGAACAGTAGTGGAAAACGACCGCTCTCTGCTTTCGTAGTAATCTGTAAAAAAATTAAATAAAAATTTAAAATGTGTTTAAATCAGCAAAAAAAGAAAAGCCCAAAAAACGAACAATATTTTACAGATACATGCAGTTATTTGAAAGAAAATAATGTATATTAAAGACTAAAAAAAAAAAAGTCCTGTTTTGTTAAATTACATAAAATATCTTGTAAAATCACATCTCTGACAAAAATTACCAAACTGTAAATAACATCCATATTAAAAATTTATATTTTTATAAATGGTAATTTGTTCTTATGGTATGACTAAAAAATTACATTATTTTTTACTCTGTCAAAAAATATCAGAATTTTACTAATATTTGCTGAGTTTGGAAAGAAAATTGTGTATGTTAAGGTTAAAATTCTAAATAATTAATTTTTTTAAAAACGGATTTTTCCTGATTTGTAAGATAACTGATAGTGTTTACTAAAATCACAGAAAAAAGTATTCGTGTACATATCAGTTAAAAAAACCAACAACCTGTAAATAACATGCACATCAACAACCTGTTTTTTTATTAATGGTAATTTATTCTTTCATACAGTGAAATTTGATTTGTTTTAAATCAGTTTTACACACTGACAAAAAATAGGCCAAAACTTTAATGTCCACATCAAAAATCTGTATTTTTACAAACACTGTGTAACTGTAGAATTACTGAACCACTGTAAACAAATCAGCTAAAAATATTATTCAGCTATATATTATCTATAGTTAACAGGCACTTACAGCTATTTTCATTTGTTTTTCATTTATCGTTTTAGAGCGCTGCAATATACCTGTTTTTTTGGCACCCTGGCTGATAAGTTTTCATCATTTTGTCATTTATTATTTTGTTTCTACAGTGTTTTTTTTTTGTTTGTTTTTTAATTAAACCCACTTAAACCTGAATTATTCATTCCATTGACTGAAAACATCCAACTCTTTATCCAACAGGCTCACATACTTTTGTCAAACACGCATTATGTTGGTTTCATTCGTTTAACTGAAAACAGAATTTTTTTTCTTTTTTACTTAATTGTTAATTTATGTATTAAAAAACAAACAAACTGTCTTTTATCCATGTAAGAGAATAAATATGATTTCAAAATGAAAAATGAGGATAGTGAGGAAACAAACATTTTATTTTTAATTTACAATATTTACAAAAATTGTATATATTTTATTCTAATTTTTTCCATTTTTATTTG